TGAAGTTCAACAAAGGGAATTGCAAAGTCCTGCACCGGGTGACAACTCCAGTCACCAGTACATGCTGCGGGCCACCCAGCTGGAAAGCAGTTTGTCAGAAAAGAACCTGGGGGTCCTGGTGGACACCAAGTTGAACATGAGCCAGCCTTGCCGCAAAAAGGCTAAAGGTACCCTGGGCTGCATTAAGCGGATGTTGCCAGCAGGTTGAGGGAGGGGCTCCTTCTCCTCCTCTCAGCACTGGTGAGGCCACACCTGGAGGGCTGGGCCCAGCTCTGGGCTCCTCAGTACAAGAGGCACAGACACACTGGAGAGAGTCCAGCAAAGGGCCATTAAGATGATGAAGGGACTGGAGCATCTCTTCTATGAGGAAAGGTTGAGAGAGCTGGGACTGTTCAGCCTGGAGAAGAGATGGCTCAAGGGGGACCTCAACAATACATAGAAATATCTGAGGGGAGGGTGCAAAGAACATGGTGCCAGGCTCTTTTCAGAGGTGCCCAGTGACAGGATCAGAGGTGATGGGCACAAACTGAAAACACAGGAGGTTCCCTCTGAACATCAGGAAACACTGGTGGAGGGTGACTGAGCCCTGGCACAGGCTGCCCAAGGAGGCTGTGGAGTCTCCATCCTTGGAGGTACTCAAAAGCTGTCTGGCCATGGTCCAGCACAACTATCTCTAGGTGGCAGTGCTTGAGCAGAGGTGTTGGACCCAATGACTTCCAGAGATCCTTTCCAACCTCAACTAGTCCTCAGTTCTGTGATACACTCCTCAACTCTTCCTTAGAATGGGGCAGATACAAGACAAACCTAGAAACACAAAAAGCTGTAGATAGAAAACCTGTTACATTTAATTTGAAAACCCTCACGTCTATGCTAAGCAGTATTTTTGGTTTTCCCCGTAGCACTGCTTTCTATACACTTGTTGTTTCCTGTTACTATTTTAAGTCTATTATAGAAAAAGCTTTTAAAAACTATAGTTTCAGAGTAATTGGTATAGAGAATCACACATAAAAGTTTTGTAAGTGGCCTAGACAAAAACACCAAGCAGAGTTAAGATAAACTTTGATAATGCAGAAAAAAACCTAGTCAGCTCAAACTGGAAACAGAAGAGGTAAGTAGTATAACGTAAATTATCTTAAAACAGAAAGCCTCTGCTTCAAGTTGGCTGGACACAGGCTGCTCTGAATCCTTGGTTCTGGATGTCAGGCCATTTAAATTAAAAATGATTCACATATACATACATATGAATAGACTTCCATTCGTTACTCATATTTAAATGAAAACATGATCCTAAGTTGGCCCGCTGGAATAATACATGAATAGGAAAAGGTGACCGGAGCCCTCCGAGTTAAGCAGGAAGATAAACTATTAATTCAACACTTTTTCAATTCTCTGAATTTCACCTCCAATTAGAGGAAGGACAAGCACAAAGAACCATGGTGTTTCATCTGAGCAGGTTCAAACTTCAAGATTTTAGTCATCCTTACTCAAGGCCTCATTTTTCCCCTACAGGGATACTTGAGATACTCAAATGTAGAATTTTCTATCACATTCAGGGCATAGAAATTGCATCCACAGACTCATATAAAACTGTCAGAGTTACAGAGAAGGTTAACATTGCTTTTGAGCAAATTATATCCTCAAATGACTGGAAAGAAAAAAGTTTCTGCAAGTACCATCAGTATTCAGGTGAACACCTTTGCCCCTGTGTCTACCACCTGAAGTAAAAAATGGTGTGCCTTATTAAAAGCAACAAAAAACGGGAAGATGCTCCATCTTTTGAGCCAACATTTGACATGATGTTGCTGTCTTTCATTCCTGAAAAAGTTCTACAACATGTATACAGCCACAACAAACTTCTTAGAAGTGCCGTCACGTCAACTGCAACACGCAATCACCCTGCCACACAGCACTCTTCAATTTCAACATTGCATAGGTCTTCTGCAAGAAGAATTGTGAGAGCTGCTAGTCCTCCCAGGCAGTAGCATTTTAATTTCAAATAGAAGAGATCTTATGATGTACTGAGGAGTTATGGCACAGTCTTGTAAGATGACTGAAAGATACAGAACCAAGTAAGCAGCTGAATCCCTGTTGACAGAAAAGCAACTCAGAGAAACAAAGAGAATACATCATGTTGCCTTCTACATCAAATATGCCTCAAAAAGATATTCTGCATCATTTGAGAGAGATCAGATGCAAAATAGCTCTGGACTATCGTTACTACCAACTTCCAAGTTCCATAATTTGCCTGCAAAGGATTTGAGGTTACCGTTGGACTGGATGATCTTAAAGGTCTTTTCCAACCTAAACGATTCTATGATTCTATTAACCCAATTTAAGTTACTTCTCAAGCACAGGCTGACCACTGAACAGCCACCAGAACAATAGACTTCTGTGTCATAGAAATAAGAAAGCATGAAGTATATGAAGTTCAAACCTATCACCATTAATTGCTTTGATTTAAAGTGCTTCAGGTCTTCATCTGAACACAGGACAAACAGTTTTTAGCAGTCTCTTCCCCTCAGTGGTTACATGAGAATTCTGTAAGTGGCAAAATGCTATATGCAAAACTAAATAGTGGAATATATTCCCAAGTTGTTATTTTGAAAGCATAGACCAACCCAAGTTCAAACATTAATTGCTTCAGATAAACAATGTTGGAATGATTTTACCCTTTTGATTAAAACTTCCTTGCACCAGATGTTTACATGAACTGTCAAGAACTGCCAAATGCCAGATAAGATAGCTATCCTTGCCTACACAAACAGCGCTCACACATATACACAACATCAAACAAAACGGACAGTTACAACAATGAACAAACTATTTTATTTTTGTTGATAGATAAGAACATCCCAATGAAAATAAAGAATAAAAAATATATTCTGCTACAACACTTTGAACGCTTGAATCTCACGCTATAGCACACAGTGAAATTCTGGTACTGCAACATCACAGTAATCCCTGTGCGCACGGGTGCACAGAGAGCCTTGAACAAATATTTATACCCATAATAGTGCCATGTACAAAAATGTCATTCCATAAAGGCCAAACAGAAAATTTAAACATCTTTGTTTTTCTTATGCCAATGGCAATGTAAAAAAAAATGAAAACTGTTTTCAGTCAATTACTTCCACTTAAATCGCATGAGATCTTTTTACACTAAAGAACTCTGAAATTCAGCATAATAAAGCATGGAAGAAGTAAGGTATAAACAATATACTGAACATGTGGGCACGATGTTTTCCTCAATATATAACTAACTTTCATATGGTTACACCAACAATCAAGTCAGTATTTTTCTAACACAAAGAGAAAATATTCTGTTTCTCCAATCAATGCTCTGACCTTTTCTCACTATAAAGAGCATGCTTGTATTATTCATCTAAGCATACATGCACCACAAAAGATATGCAAAACAAATCAATATAGATAACCTTTAGTGTCAAATGTCTAATGATGTAATAATAAAAACAATTCTCAAAGTCCAAATGACTTGCTAAATTAAAATTGCATTGCAGTCACTTAAATTAACAAAATACTTGGACACTTGTGAGCCACAAAATTTATTATTTTGCAGCAGTATCTCTGCTGAAACCTGAGGAGTATCAGACTATTGGTAAAGCAAGGCATTTTCAGAAAAGGAATTTGTAAAAAATACATTTATACTATATGCTTTCATATAAAAAGGCAGTAAGAAATATAATAAAACCTACCATTTTAGGACTACACCTTCCCTAGCAAATAGTTTTTATCACTTGCACTATTACATACAGTACATTCAGTTTCCTACACAGAAAGTATATTTCCTTGTCCCTGATGTATATTACAATTGGCAGTGACAACAAACTGCTTTATTATCACTACTCATTCTTGCAGCTTATACAAACAGCACCGATTTTACCCAAAAAAAAGGCTTATCGGTTACATAGCAGTACTTCCTTAAAGGAAATACAAGCCCAAAACATCAGAACCAAATGTGTCTTTCCAGAAATGTAATAGAATATATGGCTCAGAGTTAAGGGATGAATAACCAAGAGTATTGCATAGTACAGGGATCTCACCTGTATCAATAAACCCACTCTTCGATTGTTTGTCACCTTCCGACTCCAAGAATGGACAACAAATTAAACAGGTGCTAATGAATATGAAAGTAGTACACAACTAAATTTACTGGTAAAAAAACAACAAGAAATTGTACAGTTCTCTCTGGCACAGTGCAAAGTACACATTAAAAAACTGAATACATATGTACAGTGTGTATGTATATTTTTATATATATAGTATGTATTTCCTCGACACATACACGTATATATAAAAAGCATGAACGCACATATCCATGCCAAACTTAGCAAAGAGATGGAATGTTTAAAATGTAGATGCGTTGTTCCAGTTAAATCCATCTGTCCCAGAAATGGCTGTTTATACAGCCAACATGCCCTTCCATGAAACAGAAATATTTATTGCCTGCATAAATTGACAATATACGGTACATTTGTCCTCATAACTTACCAAAGGACTGATAATCACACTTTATAAAAGCTTATATTCATATTAAGCTCTCTCCTCCATAACCCTTCCCTCCCCACACCTCCATCCCCCATGACCAATTCATATGGCTATTCCCTTTATGGAAATCTAGGAAGAATAACCTAGAATAATACACTAAGAGTATTACTTTGCTGGAGGACCAGACACAGTATTCACTACAGAGGTGAGATCTTCTATTTTAAATTTTTCTTGTGATATAAAAGTTTACAGCCACCCCTGTAAAAATTATTAACACCTGATGCTGGTTTGTTTTATTTTTTTCCTTTGGGATTCAGCTGTTTTGGTTCTGAATATGAACACGTTGGCTGAAGTCTGCAACAGAGAACACACTTTTCAGGATTCAGAGAGCACTGTTACCTGACCTGCCCGCCCCCAGTATGATCAACTGTCCTTCCCTGCAAACTTTCTGAAATAGTTCGCAAAATACTAGAATGTAATATACTTCCCCCCCCCCCCTTCTTTATCCTGAATGTCTTCTTTACATTTTGAGAGCACTTTCAAAAAAATAAAGATGATTTATATCAGCAAAATAGTTTCAAATAAAGGCAATGGCTGTGAACCTGAGAGCTTAGTGTGATATAAACACACATATTTGTGGTATCCCCACTGGCTAGTACTTTCCTTGTTTAAGTCTTTCAATGTGGTAGCACAACTTTAGGGCAGGCCCCAGCTTCAGTCCCATATATTTCATTATCATATCACTCCTCAGTAAGAGTAGTGCCTTCCCATCAATCTCCTGCAGAAGGAAGAGAATAAACACAACAACATACAACTACTTTAACAAGCTGCATGGTAAAACTGGAAAGTACATTATATTTGTCTATACTGTGGTAAAAATTTATCTACTATATATAAAACAGTAACTTAGTATAATTTGATATTTACAGATGGCCACTAAAATTGAATTTATTTTAGTATTTTTTTAATGATGATTAAGGTATTTAAGATGCTAAAGAAAAGTATAGTAAGTAAAAGAAACTGACCAAAAGGCCCTCAAAATTAGGTACCAGCTGGGAAAAAAGTGAATGGGTCAAGGGAAAAAAAACAAGAAGCTGCAAAGGAAGGTCTGTGCAGTTAGAGATTAAATGAGCCGAGCACTGAGGCCTTGCACTGAACCTTGAACACAGCTGTGGGAGGATTCTGGCATGCACATGCAAACAGTCACATGGAGGAAGGGGTTACAGACCATCTAAATCTGTGAAATAAGACAGATCTACGTCCAGGTTAAACCAGACAGATTGTTAGGATCAAGACCAAGGACAACTTAAGTCGGATTTCAACTGCCTGGTTGAGAAGCTGCTGAAATGTGACAGTCCTAAGCTCTTAGTAGCATTACACACTGTAGACAGGCAATTAGTTCCTTAAAACACCATAAAGAAAACCACTCTGTTTTATTTTTTTTAAACATAAACCTGACAAAACAAGTGACATTTAGTCTTGTTATACAACTAAGAATAAAACATAAGACAGGAAGCTCCGCTAAAAGTTATTTTGTGTCTTCCTTCCATTCCAGCTGACTCAGATTTAACTGTTACTAGGAGCTGGTGCAGAACAAGTGCGAAATACTACTAAAGAGAAAGCCAACCTCTTTCTGGAGGGCCATATATACAATGAAATAAGAAAGCAGCTCTTTACTGGGCAACCTGCCATAGAAAAGCACAGTGAGAAGGAAGAGGGGAGACCAAAAACAGCACAGAGAAACTGACGCAGTTTATCTCTCCGAAAACAACATCTAGTTAGATCTTACGAAACCCTACACATTGGTTTTCAAAACAGATTAATTCAACATTTCAATAGATTCTCTGAATTTTAGTATTAATGACCAAGTGTAAAGCTAATGAGGCATAACAGCATCTCTACTTTGGGATAATCAGACTCCAGAACAGACTGTCTTAGGGAGGTGTCATCTATGCAGGCCAAATGCCCTATACTGTACATGAGAATCCCATCTTCTCTAGAGGTACCAGGGATGACAGGGGTACCATGGATGTTGGCCATTAGAACTTGGACACTTCCAGTATTGGCATTATTCCACATAAGCTGGAAAGCAGTGGGTATTTACTCTAGTCTAACAAGACTGGAACATGGAGAAAAATATACTGCAGGAGGAGTTTCAGGTGGAAAAATAATCTTCAGCCTCCCGCTAATAAACAAGTAGCATCTATTCTACGTTCAATTGCAAACAGAGTGACAGACATGAAAACTGTATTTTAAGAGATTAACGCCACACACAATCTACTAGAACAGAATGGATATGCATCATACATGTCTCCTAAAGAGTTCTGCATGTGGAGCTAGTGCCTGTGGATCAGCTTCTTTCACAAAACGCATTACTTCCTCTATTGACCAGGTGGAAGGATCCTTATTCAATATTCTTGAAGGTTCCCTTTTTAGTGAATTCAGATCTGGTCCAGTTGTGGAACTTGCAGCTTTCAGTATAAAAATATTGTGAAAGGAAGAAGTATCACTAGTCTATACAGGGACAACACATTTCATTTTACATGAGACATTCTTGATATTAACATGCAGCTTTTATTATGCATTCTTTGCAATATATTAAAATGAAAGATGTTTTATTTTCCTCCAAATAATATTGAACTGTTCTATTTGTCTTTAAATGCGTTACATAACTGCAAATATTTACAGGAGCATAAATATTAGCAGTATGACATACCTAGAGGGATTAGTTTGAGTTGTACTTGGCTCCCGGGTCCCAAGATGCCATTAATTGGGAATGTGGCAAAGGCAAGTTAAGCTGTGCAGATAGAGGGAGGGACAGGAGGAAACCCTCTCCCCATATTACACCAACACAGTAAGAGTTGATAAGATGCTCAGGAAGTGAGCTGCATATAACTAGCCCTCCTTGTTCTGGCCCACTGCAGGGTCCATAACAGCAGTGAGAGGAAGGGCAGCAGGTAAGACCCCGCCCCACCCAGCTTGCGCCGCAATATTAGTTCTAACAGGCTTAAGTTCTGCATTTGCAGTTACATTAACAAGCCTGACATGCTTGGCAACAGCACATTTCACTCCATATGCAAGCTTTTCTATGGCAAAAAACTCCTTTATTCATAACTCTCAGACTTTGTATGTTAATAAGAGCAGTTATATACTTTCAGAAAGTTTAGTTATATAGCATACCTTCAATCCGCCTCTGTATTCGATTCCTGCTAACTTCATAGTAACCGCTGCTCCCAGCAGAGCTCAAGGACAGCCTGCGCAGGACTGGGGCTGAATTTGAGGTAGCAGTCACTGGCTGAAGGGTATTTCTGTAATATGCTGCACTCCCTGAAGTACGATATTCTGTGGAATTTCGACGGGTCGGGCTTGAAGGATTTACAGAACTAAGTGCAGAATCCATAGAGTCCTCAGAAAATCGGTGTTCTTTGGAAGTGCTGTTTTCTTCTATAGGTAATGTTTCTGCTACACAAGAAGCAAGTATCAGTATGTTCAAAGTGATGGACGTTATGCCTTTGTTATTGAACTCCTTGCTATGCTCTCTTGAAGGTACTGAACCTATTAACAAATCTCCTGTGAGGCAATCACTGCTGCTGAATGTTTGCCCCTTTTCCTCAAGTAATCATTGGGCTCCTATTGTTTTTTTAAAACATTCTTTGTAGCAAAAGATTTAATACATCAAGTTTGAGACAGTCTTCCATAAATCATTCCAAGTTATAGTTGCTAAATACTATGAACAGGAAAGTGACAGAGGAAATTTTTTCGGGTAAAATTGTCTGATGTTAATACTGATACATCAAGCAATCTTAGTCAAGCGTTTTCATTATCTTTTTTGAAACACATTCTCAAAAAGCTAACCATTAAGAGTGTGTTACATTTATCTTGCAAGACATTTTTAATATAAATAAAAACTCTCTATTAACTAACAACTGTTTTTGTTCTAAACAGCAGAGGGAGTCACTAACTTCATAAACAAAACAAGTGGACAATTACCATCTCTAGATCCCAATATGTTCAGACACAGAGGCCATCATTAAAAATTGAACAGGTTACAGGCAAAGCCACAGAAGGCTGGGAGTGCCAGGTATGGCACACTAACGTAACATGTTTTGACCACAACACTGCATCTACACACGTTTAGCTCTTTGCACAGGACAGGGTCTATGAGCACAGACTCTGGAAAGCTAAAGATACATGTAAATTACTGGACCCACTAAGCAAGTAAAAAAAAACCCAAACAAAAAAACCATCAGGTCCCAGGAAGGCAGTATAACAACATTCCCCTTTTTAGTTCTTATCACTTATCAGCTAATTTCTACTCTGTAAGACACAAACAACACCAGCTTAGAAGACTGGTGAATTTTTAGAGCCTGTCAATACTGTTTCTAAGGCAGA